GCAAGCAATGTCCACCATGTTTTACACAGAGACATAAAATACTCATCAGGAACAAAAAACGTCACTACATTGAAAGAGACTGACTATTAACGAAAACCCCACAATGATTTAAGATCTTGCATGCTTCGATAATCGTAAATGAAAGCCATAAAACAGCAGTCAACAAAGTTGGAATCTGTTCAAGAAATAAAGTTAACAAAGAACTTTGTAAGGCAAAACAAGAGTATGTGCAGTCACTACTAATTATTCTTTATGAGGAGGAATTTGAAAATATACAACTTCCTGGCAACTGGGAATTATTTTTTTAAATAGTCCTTTCAATTTGAATTTTATGAGCATGATATCGACGACACACAAAATAATTTGGCCGTTCCTAATGGGAACCAATTTATCAAAGTTTTAAATCATTCACGAATGCAAAGGTGCGTCCCATCAGGGAACAATGGTGTTTTCCACAATGTTCTCTGTGCATTCTAGCAGGGAATAGCGGTGTTCCCACAGTGCAGTGTTCTCAAGTTATTATCAAATGATATTTTCTATAGTTTCTTTGGATGTATTTGCTCATGATGTATACTGTGGGCTGAATATGAAAGCAGTATTATGTTCAATGCAGTTTGTCTTATTAACCGTTATCTGGTGCCAAACACAGAGTATCCTGTCCAATATTGTCAGGTCAGGGGACAACGAAGCCCGTCATATATTACAAAACCTCATGTATGGTGTACGGCACTGCAGTGCCTGTGAATTGATTCAAATTTGGAGATTTATTTTTGAAAATATTTGCAGATAATGTCCCAGATTTACTGAGTCCTAATTAGGATGCTGCGTAGGTCTACTAACAGAGAATATGCACATACATGTACGAAGGCTATAACTATGACTTTACTGACTATTCACGAACGGGGAAAAACAAAATGGACGTGCTCACCACTCTTTGGCAATGTTCCAAAAAGGAACACACGCATTTTCTAAAATCAGTGTTGCCAGGAATGGAACATTACGTTTGGGCAAAGTGCATGTTCTGGAAGTGAACAAAACTTGTTCCAAGTGGGAACAAACATTGTTGCCATCAGGAACATCTTTTGTTCCCAAAAGGAACATTCAAAGCATTCCGACTTTTGAGACGTTCTGTAAGGCCAACAAGCTTGCGATCAGTTTCTAGGTGTTTTCAAGGTGTGTGAAGATTCAGTTCTTCCCTCATTGCTGCCTCGTCCATTCCAAGATATTCCAGACTTGGAGATCACTGTTGATAATGTAGAGAAATTACTCTCCTCCCTCCAAGTAAACAAGGCTGTTGGACAAGACGAGATACCAAATGCTGCTCTGAAAATTGCTTCAGCCCAGCTGGCACCCGTCTTACAGTTTCTTTTCAGTCAAATTCTAGAACAGAGTGAATTCCCCGTAGACTGGAAGAAAGCCAATATTTTACCCATCTTCAAAAGCCAACTGTGGTCCCAATTCACTGATATGTGTCTGTTGCAAACTTACAGAATACCTCATCAATAGCCAGATCATCAAGTTCTTATGTACATGTATGCATACAACAGCCTTTCTGATACACAGCTCCCATTTAGGAAATCTATATCCTGTAATACAAAGCTCACTTCAACTCTGCACAACCCACAATGTAGCTTCAAATCACAATAGTCATCAGACCACAGACATCGCCATCCTTGATTTCAGCATGGCATTCACCGTCGTATCACAGTCAGTGTTTGCTCCTCAACTCGAACTATATGAACATCTTTTCTTTCAATCATTCCCAAAGAGTGATTGTTAATGGGAGAGCATCCACTTGGAAACTACCAGTAGTCCTAAGTGGTGTCCCCCAGGGCACAGTAATGCATGTACATGTAGGCATGCATCTATTTATTCTTTTCATACATGTAAATGACATCCTCAAATCTGTAAAAGCCACTATAAGGCTTTTGCAGATGAAGCATTGTTTACAGAACCATCAATTCTCATGACGATGAAGTTTCTTTTCAGAGAGACCTTACCAGTGGGGCAAAACTGTGTTTTTGCATTTAATGCTGATGGTTATACATGAGTGACTCACACACCCCTTGCTTATATAAAGAGACACCAAAATGATGCCAAAAACACTTGTACATGTATCCATGATGCCACGACTGTCACAACCTGAGAAAGACCGAGCCAGTGGCATGCTCCAAGCCAGAAGGAACTGACGGGCAGTGGCCAGGTTGTTCGGGGTCCACCACTCAACGATTGTGCGTTTTGAACAGTGCTACAACACTACCGGCACCTGCACAGATCATCCCTGAGCTGGCACACCGCGGGTCACCACCACTGCACAAGACTGTGCCAACTGGCTGTCCCACCTCCGTGACAGGTTCTGGCACTCTATTCACCAGTGTTATAGTCGAGACCATCACAAGACCAGACACAAGACCGGACACAAGACCGGACACTCGGCCATGCACAAGACCATGCACAAGTAACAGGGTAAACAATGACAAAGGAAAGCTTATGTTGTAGTTCATTTGAATAGCTTGTGACTTGAATTCAGACAGGAGGTCTTGTGTTCGTCTTTTGTTGGTCTTGTGTGGTCTTGTGAAGGTCTTAAGTGGTCTCGACTACAACACTGCTACACCCACTGCTGCTGAGACCATATAGACACACCACAGGCAAATGAGTGCAACAACCATTAGGAATCGTCTCCAGGCTGACGGGATCACACCATATCGATCATAAATGGGCTCAGTGCTCACACGCTGACATTGCCAGGCTTGGGTCCAGTGGTGCACAACACACCGATGCTGGATATTGCAGAGATGGTCGCAGGTGGTCTTCAGTGACAAGAAGAGGTTCCAGTGCTTCAGGGCCGATAGCAGGGAGCAGGTGTACATGTACACATGCTTGTGTTCACCAAGTTAACTGCTGGGGTAGCGTAAGTGTGATGGTTTGGGCTAGCATATGAGCCAATCAATGCACTGACTTGGTTTTCATCAAAGGAAACCTCAATGCTGCCCACCACTACGACGAGATCCTGGACCCAATTGTACTACACTTACTGGAGCGAGTTGGGGGTTGTGCTGTGTTCCAGCAGGTCAACACCCATCCCCATGTGGCTCGTGTGTGCGCCGACTTTCTGGAGGTGAACGATGTCAAGATGTTGCCATGGCCAGCTCTCAGTCGGGATTTGAACCCCATTGAGAATGTGTGGCACTCGCTCAGTTGTCACATCCAATGAGATCATCCCCCAGAGACATAACAGCAGCTGAGTGTGGCACTGGAGGAAGAGTGGGCTGCTATCCCACAGGACTAGTTGTGACATTACTGTCAATCCATGAAGTGGCAAATTACAGCTGTTCTTGATGCAAATGGAGGTCATGTTAATTATTGAACTGTAAATGCCACTTTTATGAGTGGTGGTGCTAACTTGTTTTGTTTTTGTTGTTAAAAGCAAAACAAAGGTTAGATTACTGGGCTACAATGTGAAGGACCTATATGTGGGATTTTCACACATACATTTGATTTCACAAAATTTGGGCTAAAACTAGAAAAACGAGTCAGTGGTGCGTTTCTTTTTTCCTTGAGTGTACATTTACATGTATGTATTTCTCATACAGAAAATTATCAGGTTCAGGAGAACCCCCCCCCATAAGCAGTGTGATGTCTAATGTCAAACATCTACCCCCTTTATTCAATCTTTTTTTCCAGAAGCCATTTTGCCGTACCACAGCAAACCACCAACATAACCTCCACAACAGCTTTTAGAAGCTCCATTCAAGACAAACAAAACATCCCAAATTCCAGTTAAGTTAAGTTCCTGGCAGACCGTTCGGGAGCTTGAAATACAAGGTACAGTACTGGTACAACATTGGCTCAGGTCAGTCATTTGAGTTGGCAAATCTTATTTCATTTACTGTTTAATTCTTTGGGGGGGTCAGAAGGGGAAAACTGATTAGCCTCCAGACAGCATCAGTTTTTACAAGTAGGCCTTCAAGTGTCCAAACCTCCCCTAAAAAGACCTATCAAATCACATGTTCTTTCAGAAACTAACAAAAATCCCATGAAAATAATTAACTTCAATATATTTGTCGAAGGATATTGCCTTGAGAACTTACATGTAAGTGACATGCCAACAATGCCTTCCCATCCCACTGTCTTGCGACATGTTGCACAGTCTAGACCCAGCTGAAGCTACTATACATGTACCTGGCGCTATTAGAGAAAGCTTGGAGTATCAACATTCAGTTTGGTTCTGCACAGGTTTTGCAACAATAATGCACTCATGCTCGTAATTTCTGCAATAATTATGTGGATGATTGCAGTGAGATGGTAAAGGGGGACACCTACAATAAAGCACAGATGCAAATTTGTCTGCACACTATGCCATTGGATCTCAGTGGACTTTGCGCATATTTCTCCTCTGAGTGTGAAAGGTTACCAGGCAAGTTGGTTGCATGCTCAACACAAGTTTTCATGCTGCTGTGTTATACCAGTACATGGGACAGGCGCTTGAATTACAAACGATCCACAAATTCAGACAAACCTACATGTTCATGTATTGTGACAAAAAGATGGACATGGATCAATAGGAAAGAACCATACACAAGAACATGCTTTGACATATCTGAAATCCCTTGTGCGACTGTAGCAGCCTCGGAAAATGCCTATAAAATTGAATGAAGTTGAACCAGACACTGGCATTTTACAAAGCTTAACAATTGTGGAGTTGTATTTTAAGGGTTCAGGCAAAAAATTCAAGAATTCACTAGGTTGCACACACCTTGAAGAAAGAATTCTACGTGCACATGTAAATATGGACATTGCCTGAAAAATTCTAAGTGAATACCTTGAGCAATAGTTTACTACTAAATTTGACTTTGTGGGACATGCTGTTGCTTTCAGATGGCTACATGTAGGTCTCTGCTGGTAAAAATAAGTGGCATCCATAGATGGAAATTCTTTCCCCTTGATATCAAGTGTGAGCTCCTAACATGCCTAAAGGAAAGAGAAAGGAAGACACTTACCAAACTGACGAGGACACAAAGAGATCCCTTCACAATTCCAAAGAGAAATCAAGTTGATGGTGCGAAATGTGAAGCAAGGCTGGATGCTAAACTGTGAACAGCACCTGGGAAGAAAATGTCAAAATGCTAAAAATTACCCCGAACAAACATTTCTACATCAAGCACAAATGGCCTATTTGTTTTCACACGGACCTGGATTGCATTCAGTGATTCCAAAGCTGGTTCACGCTATCCATTAGGCAGGTTTGGGTGTCATTTATTATTATTATTATTAATCATTTCTGGTAATATGACACCAAGGATCATTCCTCAAAAATGCCCTTGCCAATGAAGCTCGCAAGCCTGAAGAAACCTGTAGAGAGGAGACAACGAGAAGCAGTTACAGTTTTAGAGGTGGGAGGAAAACCCCAGAGGAATATTCTGGGTAAAACCCCATGGAATCAGGTAGGGATTGAAAACCCAATCCACATGTGGACCGGGCTGGAATTTGAACCCAGACTGCAGAGGTGGAAGGTGAGGAAAGAAGAACCACCATGCTAAAAGTGGACCGATGTCAGATCACTGATTGCGAGATCTGCGAGAAACAAACAAGCCCACAATGTACATGTAACCCTCCTTTGCTACAGTCACCGTTGAGTCAATTGATAAGCTGCACAAAAATGCACAGCTGTGTTATGTGATGCACTGTACCAACTATCCCTCAGATTGCACTTTTGTGCTGTCCAAAAACTGTGCCTCAATGTTTCATGTGCATAATTTTAATAGTGCAGTAAACCAACTACGGTGAAGAGGACTGCACAAAAGAGCCTGTGTCAGTTTGTGCTGACAACCAAATGTATACATGTACACTGAAGTTGTGCATATTTGTGTTCCATACACAAAGTGTGACTGTGGGCATTCATGCATATTTGTGCTGTTAAACCATTAAAATTTACATGTAATAAACAGGCTTGGAAGTGCAAACTTTATGTACAGGTATGACATCAGGATCTGCAGCATTTTGGTATTGGCAAATTAATTCAAACAACAGTAGATGTACATGTACATGTAAGCTACATGTACATGAGTACATGTATATTGTACAGTAGGAGACTCACTTAATTTTACTTCTTTAAAAGTGTCAACCTCTATATGAAGATGACAGTAGATGTCAGTTTTATACAGCAAAGTGTCAGTGTTCAGCTATGCAATATTAATGATTTTTGAATGTGCCAAACAGTGTTCTCCAGACATTTTGAAGTAGCAGGTGAATTACATGAGTAGCCAATTTTTAGAGAGAGAACACTGCGAATTAGGCCTGTGCCAGGTACCCGGGTACCCGTCTGTCGATATCAAAACCTGGTTCCATTTTTTTGGGCCAGGAACCCGTAAAAATAAAAAAAGTTTACAAATTAGGAACAAACGTCCACACATACAAAATGTCTGTGAAATTTCATACTGAATACTTGATGAAAAAATCACCGTGCCGCTGAAAACCCGTCGATCTGGTAACTCCAAATATAAAAGCTCAGATTTTGAAAAAAAAATTGAGTTATCTCCAAAACACGAAGTTGACTTGTGACCATATTTCACTCCAATTTGAGGATTTTTGTAGCTACAGTCTTACTGCATAATTTTCATGATCTGGAACTAGGAAAATGACTGTACCAAACCTATGAACAAGAGACCAAAGGAATTTTAACTTCTGAGGTGGAAGCGCTGTTGACGTACATGTACATTTGCATGACTGTATTTGTAACTTTCAAACCCTGTCGGCCTAAATGAGTTTTGTGAGGAAATGTTAGTGCCTTCTAAAGTCATCATTTAAATTTCAGTTTCAAAATTTATACTTTTAAACTAAAGCACTGTTAGTTTCCTAGGTGATTCAGCGGAACTGTGGATGAGGAATTGAACAAAAAAGCAGGAAGGATGTTTTCTGTATGCACAAAAGCATTTCAAATCTCAGTGTTTCTTTCATTCGAAAAAAGAGAAATGTTGACAGGTCACAATACAGTCCGGCAGTCAAATGTCACTTGTCAAAGTATTAAAATCTCGACAACGTGAACCTCAGGGGAATGGATTTATCCTAAAAAAAATTATTTATTAAAATAAACCACTTTATCATGATACCTTCATGCGACAAAACTATCGTATCACTTAGTATTGTTTACAACTTAAAGCACGGCACATAGTCCTATGTTTTTTTATTTGAGCTTCCCGATATATGGTCACATAACCTTTCCTTTTGCAGTCACATGGCCGCTGCAGTGTCAGCGATTGGACTGCTTGAAGGGGACTACAATTGGTCCCACGTTAGCAATCAGGTTAGCTTCAGTAGCTTGAAAGCCAGGAATGCAGTTTCAGGTAACGTTGGTTTATGCAACATGCATACAAGTGGTCCCAGAGAGAAAAGAAATGCATTTGGCAGTGATGACTCCTAATCCTTTATAGACTTCCAATACTTCCAACGCCGTTTGAAGCATTTTGGTGGTGGTTTTTTGAATCAGAAACTTCAAATTAAGTGGATATAATGGTATGGGCATTGTTTGAGTTACGGAGGTATTTTTGTACAAAAGCCTTTTAACCTGTGACGTACATAACACTTTGGTCTGCATGTGACACGACCACCGCTCACCATTTGTGTACATGCATGCCGTGTGTAAGTGGTCATGCAGCATCAGGGACATTTCCTGTGAGCAGTTGCTGGTGCGTTGGTGCCAATGGTGGTTTGCAGCTTTCGTGTGTTCTGATGTTCCTTGTGAAAATTTAGTTTTTGTTTCATATACCCACAAAAAGACAAGTGCAAACTGAAGGTAACAATTTCGTTTGATAAAAAGGTAGGAGAGATTAACCCCAACATTTAGAACAATGTGCTGCTTGCTCCCTATGTACGAAAAAGAGCCGTGTTTCAGGCACAGACAACCGGGGTCGCGCGCAATGTCATTTAGTGATTTCTTTTCTGGGTACCCAATGTTGACAAAAAATGGGTACATGGTTCCAAAAATACCCGGAAATGCACATCCCTACTGTGAATGCAAAACCATACCAGCATGGGGTCCTGGACTCACTCAAGATCCCTGGAAAATTTTGGGTTCTACCGGTAGACGCTCTATGGTGCAACCATTTTTTGATCACTTCCGAAACTGTGGGCGAGATTTTTCTTACCAGATCTACATGTATGTTGTTTAAAATGAGCAACAAATCTATGATACATCAATCAATTCCTTTAAAAAAAATTTATAGGAGAGATTCATTACGGTTTTGCTTTTGTGGGTTGGTTTTGTTGACAAGAAAATTGTCGGAACAAAAACTGATACCCACGGAGTGCTGAAGTTTATCACTACAGCACTGATGACCGCATCATGTCGTGCAAAGTACCATACAAGTGGACCTGTTTCCATAATGCTGTAGCCCCCAATCATATGCCCATTTTTAGTCCCCTTTTCCAAGTCTTAATTTAGATTAATATGCTGGTACATTGCAAGAATTTCATTTGCCTGTGTTACAGGTGTATAGCAGGCTAAAAATGTCTAATTGGTTAACATATGTATGTACGGAAAATGTGTTGCGTAACAGGTAGAAAAGGCAGAGGTATGTGGTTAGCATGTGAGAAGCAGAAGGGCTTTTCTAGTCGAACAAGGGTGCGGCATTCTAGCTTGTGACTTCTACCGTCCAAGAACTTTGCCATGGAGCTCAGCAATATCTCTGATCTCATTGAAGCAAGAATATGTGATTCCTAATCAGCGTTGCTGGAACAGCTAGATACACCTATGTCAAATAAGCTTGGGGGCTATCAACTCAAAGTAAACCAACGCGAATTAAGCGACGTGCAGATGGCAAAAATAGAGGAAATGACTAAAGATTCAAGGAAATGACTAAAGACTCCTGTAAATTCTGTAAACAAGGAAATGAAGAACAGTACAAAGTGAACACCAAGATCATGAGAAAAATGAAGGAAGCCAATGTCATGCTTGGAGCAAACAACAGTGCAAATAGGGTCAAGGAAGCAAGAACCAAAATCAATGAACTAAAAGTCGCCGAGGCAGTGCATGAGGCTATGGAAGAGGCAGGCGTCAAGACCAGCAGGCTCACAGAACGAGGGGGGTCCAGCTAAACCTGCCAAGCCGATACACATTAACTGCCGTTTATTCAATAAAAAGGGCTCAAAACATCCGGCCGGGATGCAGTGATGCCACAAATAATGAATATATTAGAAATTTATTAGAGACGTCTAAAAGAACGGTTTTAAGGCCAACTATAAAGAAAGATATTGTAACAAATGAGCATATCATAGCATTGTGCGATAAATAAAAAGCATTTCAAGATCTACTAGCAGTAAGAGATTTGGCGATTATTGTTTTAGGGTTTTCTGCATTTCTACGGTTCGATGAAATCCGTTCAATTAGGGCAAAAGATGTTCAGTTTCATGACAATTTTTTCACCCTTCAAAAATGCAAAAGCACCAAAAAAGGTGACTCCGTCGTAGTTTCAAAAGGAAAAACTTCGGCTTGTCCATTTTTAATTCTTCAGAGTTATTTTCAATTGGCGGGCATTCTCCCAAATTCGGATGAATACATACAGTATTTCGACCCACCTTTCATTGTAAGGACGTTAAAGTTTTGATAAAACAAAATAAAGCAATAAGTTACACTAGAGCCAGGAAGACAGTAGTAAGTCATTTAAAGGAAGTGTGCGGGGAGGCTAATATTGGTCTACATTTACTCAAAGCCGGTGGGGCTACGGCTGCGGCCCAAGCATCAGTGCAAGATGGGCTTTGGAAGAGGCACGGCAGATGGAAAAGCAATACGGCCAAAGATGGCTATGTCGATGACAGCTTAGAACACAAATTGTCAGTCACACAGGCTTTAAACTTGCTAAAATGAGCCTCATAGTTTTAATGCATTACTAAATAAGCAAACTAAATAAATAGATACGAAGTAACGCAATTCACCTGATCTTTGTATGTTCTAGACTCCTGGCAAGCATTACCCATAAAATTGTGTAAAGTGTCGTTATTGGTGTAAAGGGATAATAAAGGAGAAATAGATTGGACTACGGGTACCCATATGTATACTGTGGACCTATGGTATAAGCCAGTGGAAAAATAAAAAAGGGAAATTTACAA